TGTCGCTTTTGTCGCACATGACTGAAAATTTTGGCCCGATGTGGGTGCGCATAATAGGGGGTGCCCATTAGCGCGATTGGGTCGGGTCGGGTCGGGTCGTCGAGTCGGGTCGTTTTCTGGTGGTTTCAGTGCACACTACAACCCGCCGCGATTGTACCCGACGACCTAGAATTTGAAGTAGAGAAACTTTTAACCTCAACATTTTCCAGGGCTCCTTTCCGCAGTTAATAATAATATTAATAATAATAATAATAATAATAATAATAATAATAATAATAATAATAATAATAATAGATAGCATTTGTATAGCGCATATCCCCGCTCAGCAGCAGGCTCTATGCGCTTTACACTATATTATTACCCCAGCAGACCATAGAACACTCCGAAACATTCTCAGCTTCCCGGGAAGCATACAGTGCGAGCAGCCGATTAAGCGCTCAAACACTAACAAACTGACAAGATCTTTCGCTGTCTATAGCCGGGGTACCCATTCCCACCTGGGTGAAGTGAGGAAAATTCGTGTAAAGTGTCTTTCCCAAGGACACAACGTCGGGCCCTTGACGGGTTTCGAACCCACGACCTTACGGTTGCGAGTCCGAGAGCCTAACCACTAGGCCACCGACGCCACATGTTGCAGTGCTGCGGCAGCCTGGAATCCCATAAACATGGTTACAATAGTTACATCGATAACTTTCTATTATCAATGATCATTCAAAACGAGACAGTTCACTCCGCCCAAAAAGTGTCCGTGTAAGTACGCTCATTGGTTCAGATGGCACTGCAGTCTTTGTTTTGAACCTCTCTTTCGTTTCTCCAGAAGAAGAATAGGAATAGCACAGTTTGTTAGTTTCGCTTCTATTGTTTTCTCCGAAAAATAGGGTAACTCTGTTCTCCAAGTCCGCACTTTTTCGAAGAAGGCGCCACCGGATTGGCTCAAAGACAGGAGCGAACTATCTTGTTATGTACCAACTTTGCTATTATCTTCTCTAAGTCGATGGACTCTATTGTTGTCAATTATGTATGGTATTTCGCGCGGAAATGCCCGACCTTTACATCGCAGTGTCAACATGGACACGTGACTCAGCCTTGTTCTGATTATGCTGCAACCACTGATCACGCGACTCGCAGGCCTGAAAAAATTTTGAAGGTCACCGACCGAGTTGATCGGTTTGTGCCACGATGGTCGCTTTGCGCCCTCAATTTGGCTAGCCCCGACTACCAAATCGACCCGACCCGACCCGACCCGACCCAACCCGATCGCTCTAGTAGTCACCCCCTATAAGGATACACACACTCATCCCCTCGCGCATATGGAGACCCTGGCTAAGGAGACAGTTTCGTCGCTTTTCCCGCTGGCGACTGAGAATTGTTTAGTTACGTCGTGCATAAGGAGACATAGGCTAAGTCATTTATTTTAGTGGTCCTGTGTATGTTCCCAAAGAGGGGCCCACAGAGAAGTAACTTTGTTTTTACTGGATCAAGGTTTAGTTAGTTATAGTAGAGGGTTTTACGGCGCTCGCAACTGCATAAGGGATCAAGGTTAAAAAAAAAAAGTTTGGTCGCTTCACTGCAAGAAGTGCCATACAGACTTTTGTGGGCATAGGCATATATAAATATATTACCTGGATTTTTTTAACGCGGGCAGGTGAAAGTGAACAAGCTATAGGACACATTTGTATTACGTCGGGTAGTGGGTAAAATCTATTTAGCCCAACATTTTTAAATTTGGGTCTTACTAGTAGTTTCGTAATCTCGGTTGCATGTGCTCTAGAAATATTTTGTCGAAATTCAAATTCTAAATCTTAGGGGGCGGGGAGGGGGGGTGGGGGCAAGACATTTTTTTAGGTACTGTTTTTGCCCTATCCCCTAAGAAATTTTGCTTTTTGAACGTCATGCATTTTAAGATCTGACTACCAAAAAACAGTAAGCTTATTTAGGAGATGGGACCTCTGAATTTAGCGTCCATCTCTGTTAGGACCATGCCAAGTGGGAAAATTCATAAAATGTTTTTCCAAAGAACACAGTGTCCCACTCAATGTGCGTGTGTGTATTTGTTTGTGGTGTGTGTGTGTGTGTGTGTGTGTGTGTGTGTGTGTGTGTGTGTGTGTGTGTTTGAGTGTGTAGGCCTCGAACCCCCTAACCACGAATCTCTCGATTACGACTGAGTCCGGTAGCTTAACCCCTAGACTACCGACGTCACTGGTAGGTAATCGCCCTTATTGTTTTTTTTGTCCTCGGTAAAAACTAGACTATTTGACTATAGTGCGGTCAAAAATTCGTGTCGCAACTTATTGTCAAATACAAATTCCTGAACTATTGAACACAGACTCTCCAGTTTTTGCACAATTACTTGTATCAATTTGTCTTAACGGATCGATATTTTTGTAAGCACCCGTTAGCTGCATTCTAAAAATTTCTTAATAAAAGTGGGTGGTTTTTACAGATTTAAAAGGTTTACAGCTGATGCAGTATCGCATATTTAGAAGCAAAACCGTATTTATTTGTCATAATCACGACATTTTGCTTATTGAACCCATATTTTGAGGACCTTTAGTTTAGAGGAAAAATGTCTTCTCTATAAAATTAATTTCTTGTACAAGTTTTGCTACTGAAAAGTGTGATTGGTGAGATGTGACGTAGGCCATTTTTGCGTGTATGCAAAATGTGTGTGAAAAGTGGGAAGTGGTGTGAACAATCCCATTTTTTCGCGTGACGGAAATCTTTAGTATTTTATATACATTTATGAAGAAAAGCTTTTAAATCTAACCCTGATTGTTGTGGAAAAATGATAAAGTTAAGACAAATTGATACAAAATGCTGTGTAGGGTACGTGTGACATTGATTCACCCGTTAAAGAGATATTTGTGGATAAGTTGCGCCACGAATTTTTGACTGCACTATAGATCAGATAGATATCCGGTTACAGACTGAACAAATATTGTCAGTTTGTTAATGCTAGCGTCTGCTTGCACTGTATGCCTCCTTGTAAGCTAAGAATGTTTATAATGGTTGTTTAAGGGTCTGCTGAGGAACCGCTGAGGTATACCCCCCCCGAAAACCCCCCCAACAAAAAAACAATAACTACCCTCCCCCCCAAAACACCTCCCTCAAGAAACAACAGCAACAAAACAAAAACAAAAGCACGCCCCCCAAAAAAA